GAAAAGTAAAAACGTCAAATGCTGACACCGCTATTAAATAATCCAGTGGGGAGATGGTAGCGTTTGGGCGGGAGACAGTGCTTTGTTGAAATAAGGGAAAGCCGTTGGTGAAGTCTGCCACTGTTAAATGACATCGACAGTACCTTTCTTAATGGAAAACCATGTTAGAACAAGTTTGGTGTAGTGGTTAAGTTCACAGACTCTAATCTGGGAGAACCGGGTTTGATTCCCCACTCCTCCACTTGCACCTGGCTGGATGGACCTGGGCAATCTGATAAGAGCTGTCCTTGAAAAAGAGCAGTTTCTGTCCAGAGCTCTCTCAGCCCCACCCGCCTCACAGGGTGTCTGTTGTGGGGAGGGGAAGGGAAAGGAGTTTGTCAGCCGCTCTGAGACACCTGTGGGTAGTGAAGGGCGGGGTATACATCCAATCTCTTCTTCTCTTCTTCTTCTTAGAAGAACATGATTTTGTAGCTGGCAGTGGTCCCAAACAGTACACTTAAATGTCCTTCTTTGCACTAGGTGTCCCGAAATGCTTTGGGCGCATCGTTCGTTGCGACAAGGAACCTCCATGCCTCCAAAGCGGGCCTGCAGAAAACTGGTGAGTCCAAATGAATGCCAGCGTGGCTTTGCTGGTAAAGGAGTTTGAGCTGGTGATGGCCACAGATCCTTGCCCTACTAGTTCCCACCGTCGGGATGCTTGAGTTTGACCTTTTGCCCTTTATCACTGGCTCTGCTTCTTGCAGCAGCTATATAGTGGCATCCATTTTGTGTCTGCGCCCGTCATGCTTTGTCAGAACTCCAGAGGTGCCGGCAAGTTCAGGAAGGTTGGGGACTCCTGCCTTACTCCCTGGGAAGCCACCGCCATCTTCTTCTTCCCCACCCCCCCCCCCCCCGCCTTCTGCTTGTTTAGAAAATGTACACGCTGCCCCTCCAAAGACCTTGTGGAATTGGAAGAGTCAGTAGGGTGTGAATTACTCGTGGCTCTCCCACAGTTGTGTGCGCATCTTAATAAGGCTCCTCCAGAGCCGCGATCCATGATGTAAGAAATGACTAAACTTCATTATCCTCCCATAAATTTTGCCAGGCACTGCTGAAGTATCATCTATCCTTGAGGAACGCATTCTTGGTGCTGATACCTCTGCCGAGCTGGAAGAAACGGGGCGCGTTCTCTCCATTGGTGACGGTATCGCCCGCGTGTACGGCCTGCGGAATGTTCAGGCGGAAGAAATGGTTGAGTTTTCTTCTGGGCTGAAGGCAAGTTCTCTCCTCTTTGCAGCCATTTTTGTAGTAAATACAGTAGCTGTTCTTAGGTTCAAGATTTTTCCTTGCCTGTTAGATTGCGGATGTCCTAAATGCAAAGGGGGTGAAAGGCTTGGCGTGAAAATCACGGAAGATTGGGTTTAAGGTCAGTGGTGGGGAGGGACTCAGCTTGGTGGAAGGGGCCATACAAACCATCTTGTCCAGCCCTCTTGGCCAATGCAGGATCAGCCTAAACATCCCTGGCAAGTGTTTGTCCAGCCGTTGCTCGAAAACTGCCAGGGGGAGCTCACCACTTCCCTAGGCAGCCGATTCCACCGCTGAACTACTCTTACAGTTTAAAATTTAAAAAAAAGAACCCTAATATCCAGCCAGGACCTTTCTGCCTGTAATTTAAGCCCATTATTGCGAGTCCTGCCTTCTGCTGCCAAGACGAACACCTCCCTAGGCAGCCGATTCCACTTCTGAACTACTCTTACAGTTAAAAAAAAAAATAATAATCCTAATATCCAGCCAGGACCTTTCCGCCTGTAATTTAAGCCCATTATTGCAAGTCCTGTCTTCTGCTGCCAACTAACACCTCCCTGCCCTCCTGTAAGCGGCAGCCTTTCAGATACTTCAAGAGAGCAATCGTGTGCTTCCCCCCCCCCTTTTTTGAACTAAACATTTTTTTTAATGGGAGAACTGTGAAGCACATTGAAGCTGCCTTCTACTGAATCAGACCCTCGGTCCATCAAAGTCAGTATTGTCTACTCAGACTGGCAGCGGCTCTCCAGGGTCTCAGGCTAGGGTCTTTCACATCACCTCCAGTCTGCTCCTTTTAACTAGAGATGCCAGGGATTGAACCTGGGACCTTCTGCCTGCCAAGCAGAGGCTCTGCTAGTGAGCCACAGCCCCCCGCCCTTTGGGGAGTGCTGAAAAATCTTGCCGTAGGCATATGTAATATTTTCAAGATTTCTTTAAAAAATTGCCCGTAAATAAGCTTGGCAACTCTGAATATGTTATAGCATATTAAATAATGCATTATCGGAGGGTTCAGTGTTTTCCTAGCTTAATATCCAAGTCTAGTTTACTATCCAAGCATGCTGGCAATCCCACTTACTGTGATTTTTATAAGAGATTTTTATATAGAACCAGTTTAGTGTAGTGGTTAAGTGCGCAGACTCTAATCTGGGAGAACCGGGTTTGATTCCCCAGTCCTCCACTTGCACCTGGCTGGATGACCTTGGGCAAGCCATGGTTCTGAAAACAGCTGTCCTTAAAAAAGAGCAGTTTCTGTCAAGAGCTCTTTCAGCCCCACCTACCTCACAGGGTGTCTGTTGTGGGGAGGGGAAGGGAAAGGAGTTTGTAAGCCGCTCTGAGACACCTTTGGGTAGTGAAGGGCAGGGTATAAATCCAATCTCTTCTTCTTCTTCTTCTATCTGTGCATTGCACCCCCACCCCCACCCCGTAATATACAAAAAACCTTACACATGTGCCTGCATTACACCCTTCATAATGCGGA